AAGAGTTTATATTCACTCTATCGGAAGCAAAATTGAATGAAATAAAATGATTTTTTCTGTTTGGTATATGTCCTTGTCTGTGTTCATTCACGTGCTCGAATGTATGCACGTATATTGAAATTAGCTGTCTAATCTGATGGATACTTTCAGTAGGAGCGTCACTAATGTGGCACATTTCGATTACATATCAGATGTAGTATAATTTATTTGGAGCTAGAAGTTCAGCTGAACTCATGTGTTTGTAGTGGACGCTCTGGCAAACGACAGTGTCAGTTGATATGCTAGTAAGCATAAGGACTTTTAGCAGAATTTTCAAGGAGTATGAAGCGTTTTCATGCTTGTGTCACGGATGAATGCTGCTTCGTGATTCTTTCAGTAAATTGAATATAATCTCTTTTTTCTAGTGTGTGTGGATACTACTGCTGTAGTGTAGTTCATCTAGATTTTTGTTGAGTATCTATATGTGGATATCAGTTTGATGAGACGAATTTATGACAAAAATCCTCACACAGACAGGCATACCATCATGCACAATAAGCTTGATACTAGTACCAGCATCCACACATACGCTTTTCCAAATGTTGGATAATAGCTTTGTTGAGAGCTGCAAAGAAGTATAAAATAGCGAACGAGCCGAATATTTAGTCGAGAATAAAGCGAGTCACACTGACGCACGTTACATGTTTCTTGCTCTTATCATTTGAGGAGATAATTCAAAAACAATCACAACAAGAAATATGTCATATTTTTCATAGAGTTATGGTTGAAGATTGCAGAAAGTTTGATATTTTGCATTAATGTTTACCTTGAGATTGTTCAATTAATGATTTTGCCATGAAAAAGATAAACTATGCAAAGTAATTCTTGTAATCTTATTTACTAATTAAAGATTGAACTGATTAAAAACTAACTAAAGAAAGACATACTCCCAAAAGTAATTCTAAGAAAGAGATTATGAATTATATCAGAAAACTAGTTTGATCATTACATGATTTTTATACATGAATTAGTTGTATAATCCTAGAAGAAAACCCACACTTATCACAGTCTCCGAACATCCCACATGTCTTTCATCGTAAACATAGACACACAAAATATTGTAAAACAAAATAATCCTTGTTGATAAAGTTGAAAATTCGATTAAAAAGCATTTCTCGTCTTGTAACAAAATCCGATTTCGATGAAGCGAAAATTTCTCTCTCTTATTTTAATAATTTTTCTTGTCTCTATTTTAGATTATCCATTACGTTCTCCATCCAGTACCAACATTCATCTGAATGCTCGATGGCAACAAAATGGTATCACTGTGGCTGGAGGAAATCGACAAGGCAATGGAATCAATCAACTCTCAGGCGCACACGGTTTGTATGTTGATGATGATCAAACAATCTATGTTGCTGAATGGTCGAATCATCGTATTATGGAATGGACACGAGGTGCAACAAGTGGCCAAGTGGTTGCCGGTGGAAATGGACAAGGAAGTGGAGATCATCAATTTGATGACCCACATGATGTGATTATCGACAACGAGAGAGATAGTCTCATCATATGCGATACTTCGAATGAAAGAGTGGTTCGATGGCCTCGTCGAAATGGGACAAGTGGAGACACAATCATCTCCAATATCGCTTGTGTGGGTTTGACAATGGACGAGAATGGATCTCTGTATGTCACTGATGTTGAAAGCGATGGAGTGAGACGATATCGAAAAGAAGAATCTCAAGGAACAGTGGTTGCAGGTGGCAATGGAAGTGGAAATCGTCTCGATCAACTCTCTTACCCACGATACGTATTCGTCGATCGAGATCATTCAGTGTACGTATCTGATTGGAACAATCATCGTGTGATGAAATGGATGGAAGGTGCAAAACAAGGCATTGTCGTGGCTGGTGGTCAAGGACAAGGAAATGGTCTTACACAATTGTCATCTCCTCAAGGAGTCGTTGTCGATCAATTGGGCACTGTCTATGTGGCTGATTGGGGGAATGATCGAATCATGCGTTGGCCTAAAGGAGCCACACAAGGAAGTGTCATTGTTGGTGGAAACGGTAGTGGAGAACAATCGAACCAACTCAATGAGCCCATCGGTTTGTCATTCGATCGACACGGTAATCTCTATGTCGTCGAGTATGGAAATCATCGAGTTCAAAAATTCGAACTACAATCCAATCCAAAGTGAATCCGAAAACGTACAAATAACATTAAAAAAAAATTTTCATAAATCACTCACCCAATTAATTAATTAACATCAATAAAAATTAATTAACACTATATTCTAATTACATTGTTAACAAATAAGTAAAACTAACCATAATTAGATGTGAAAACGCACATTCAATACTAGGAAACCTCAAAAACACATAAAAAGGGAAACAACAGAAACACCACAGAGACCTGACTGACATTCCCCAAAAAGGAAACCTTGGATTTTCCCCGCCGACTCCAAGGATTCCATGCTATAAAAAAAGTCTGGTATTTCCAATATTGTAGATCATGATGAATTCCAACAGATTCGAAGGATTCCAAAAAATCTCGAAGTGAGAACCCGTGCTACTCGGGACCTCCTTAAAACCCCCATGGCCATCATAGGATTTTCAGAAGATGGCAGAGATTCCGAGGATCCCATGGTATAAGACTATGTCTGGTATTTCGAATGTTGTAGATCATGATGAATTCCATCAGATTCGAAGGACTCCGAAAGATCCAGAAGTTGGAACGCATGCAACTCTGGACCTCCTTAAAACCCCTATGGTCACCAAAGGATTTTCAGAGCATTCAATGGATTCCAAGGATTTCCTACTGTAAAACAATGTCTGGAATTTCAAATGTTATAGATCATGATATATTTTCTCAGATTTGAAGGATTCCGAAAGATGCAGAAGTGAGAACCCATGCAAACGTAGACCTCCTTCAAACCTTCATGATCACCAAAAGGACTTTCAGAGCATACAAAGGATTTCAAGGATTGCATGATGTAAAACAATGTCTGGTATTTCAAACATTGTAGATCACGATATATTCTATCAAATTCGAAGGATTCCAAAAGATCCAGAAGTGGGAATCCATGCAAACCTATACCTCCTTAAAACCCCTATGGTCACTAAAGGACTTTCAGAGCATACAAAGGATTGCGGGGATTCCTGACGTAAAACAATGCCTGGTATTTCAAATATCGTAGATCATGATATATAAAATCAGATTCGAAGGATTTCAAAAGATCCACAAGTGAGAACCCATGCAAACCTTGACCTGCTTAAAACTCGTTTTCGCCACTGTAGGACTTTCAATGAATACATAGGATACCAAGGATTCTCTTACATAAAACAATTTCTGGTATTTCAAATGGTGTATATCATGATGAATTCTATTTGATTCTAAGGATTCTGAACGATCCCCAAGTGGGAACCCATGTAAACCTTGACCTCCTGAAAACCTCTTTTGATCACTGTAGGAGTTTCAGAGGATACAAAGGATACCAAGGATTCCATGATTTGAAACAGTGTCTGGTATTTCGAATATTGTCGATCATGATGAAGTCTATCAGATTCGATCGATTCCAAAAGATGCTGAAGTTGGAACGCATGCAAGTGTAGACCTCTTGAAATCCCTCTGGTACCATAGGACTCTTGGCCGATGTCAAAGGTTCCAAGGATTCCATGATCGAAAACAACGTCTGACAAGCGGAATATTGTAGATTATGATGAATTCTATCAGATTCCAAGGATTGCAAAAGATGCTGAAGATGGAAATGTCGTAAATTGTGGTATCCTAGTAAGTTTCTTTGGTGACTATGAAGGTGTTGGAGGATACCACATATTCGAATCGTGCAATGACAGGAAAGAATTTGGTGTAATGAGAATATGATGGGTCATGATCAAGGTTGCCAGGTCGAAAACTCAAAAATCAGAATTTTTTTTTGCAAAATCAGAGATTAATCAGAAAAGTCAGTTTTTGAAAAACCTAGTGGTTATTATGGTATCATGTTGGTACAAGATGCTCTATTGAATAGCTGTTCATTAATTCATACTTTATTTTCAAAGATATTTCGCTATAAAAAAGCATAATACAATGAATATACTGTTTAGCTAACAAGGAAAAACTAATGAAGACACGTAGTGTCGAACTTTTTCGCTAAACTCAAAATTCGTTCACAAAAAAGTACAAAAGCAAATCACATATATACGATATAAGATCCTATGAAAGAAAAAAGCTGATGATTATGTAACATAGATTCGATATTATTGTTCATATTTTCCATTTTTTCGAATTTGCTTTAACAAATGTGATAGTGTTAAAAGATATTTATAAAAGTGTTCACACGAATAATTATGATATGATTTAATTTCGCTAAAAAAAGCTGTGATATGATTTAGAAAAGTTCAGAATTCCGGAGAAAAGCAGGGAAAATTATCAAAAACAGGAAAAATCAGACGAGAGTGCTAAAATCAGAAAAGATCAGACTGTCAGAAGGAAATCAGAAAGGAATCCAAATTTCAGACAATCTGGCAACCCTGGTCATGATGGATTGTATCAGATTGCTGGGATTCCAAAGAAATTCGAAGTGGCAATCTGTTCAAATTGTGATATCCAGGCAGCGGCTGTTGTTAGTATAGGTCTTTGATCGCTTATGAAAGATTGTAAGTGATCAAGAAATATATAATATTCAGAGCCTTGTGGTTCATGATGGATTATATATGATTCCAAGGATACTAAATGTGCTGGAAGTGTGAAATGGCACAGAAGAGTATGTTCTGAAAACCTCCGTTGTATACACAATGGTTCTCAGCAGCAACAAAGGTCTCCATGGATTTCATGGCAGTAGAAATTTGTCGGTCTGAGAATGTTGCAGTCCATGAGGGAATGTATCACTTTATAAGATGTCCAGAACATCGAGAAGCGAAACGACATGGAAATTGCTATCCTTCGAATGTCCATCTGTAGGGTATGGCAGTATTACAGATATTTAAGGATTCCGAGGATCGGGTGGCTGTGAGTATGGCTTTTATGGAGAATAGTCAGGTTCATTTTGGTTTCTATGAAATGTCAAGTACTCCAGGCAGAGATGGAAATATTGTTATTTTCTTTATAGGTTGCTGGCACTTGATAGCCTATGAAGCTTTTTATGGTCGTGTGTCTTTCTTTGAATTTCATCGGTCTGGTCTGCCTGCTTGGTGAGTTGGGTCTTTTCTTTTTGTGTACCAATAATTGGATAATAATTGAGTAAAAGTAGAAAACTGTCTTTGTAAGAGGAGGGAAAAGTGTTTTAATATCAAAATAATATGACGAAATGAAACATCTATTCATTCATTGAGGTATACAAGTATTGAGTGGAGAGAAGCAGAAGCTTTCAACGTTGAGGAAAAGCTGCTTTTCAATTTTAATCGTCTGACATAATGTTATGAAGAAATGGACGATGACTTTTTAGGTGGAACGCATAAGAAACTATAAATTTGTAATACTTTGTAAATGCTTGACGTAAAACTTTAGGAACAATCATTTAAAAAATATGATCCTTAATCTATCGAAACGTATAAATATTCTAAATAAATGAATGGACAATGAACAATTGAATGATAATTTATTGTTACTCCTGCGTGTGCTGAGTTACACTGATTCAAAAATTATACCTTACATTCCAGAGCAAAAATTCTCGATATTTTATTTTGAAATTTGCACTTTCTGCTCAAGAAATGAAGTTGTTTTTATTGAAAATGCAGAAAACGCACGACAGGTAGGCTCAATGGGCTGTTTGACCCTCTGATTTCAAAAGATCTCGAGCTGGAAGATGAATGAAATCATGTTCTTTCAGAAACTTGTTATAGAGATTATAGAACTATTATTGCACAGCAACGAACTCAAGGATGCCCTAAGAAGATACTATATCGGTTTTCAGAATATAGACCCTGATGGTGGATTCTATGAGATTCGAAGGATTTCAAAAGATGTCTTACTGAGAAGTCAAGCAAATTGTGTTCTCCCGAAAACCCTTTATAGAGAGTATAGGACTTTGTTTGTGAGTTCACGGTTGTAAGGATTTCGTGACATGAAAAAATGTCTGATATCGAGTTTAATATTGTCGACAGTGGACTAGATCAGATTTGAAGGATCGTAGAAGATGTCGAACTTAGAAATCATGCAAATCGAGATATTCATAGGTTTTTGTAGAGATCCTATGATACCCTAGGACAAGGGGGGAAAAGCTCATTGCAATCAAAATACTCATTGTCAATCAATAGTAACTATTAATAATTGTTCAGAATAAAGTGATTTTTATTGAAAACAGTAACGCTAATTGTCATTCACTTTACATAACAGTTGTCAGTGCAGAAAGAATTATATTGTTGTATATTCTATAAATCCAGGACAGCCATGATGAATAATAGACAGTCGATATACAGTCTGAGTCGATATTTTTCTTTTTTCTTGTCGTATGTTCATGCGTTCATGTGACACAACACAGAATGAAAAAAAATAAACATCTCTTTCTCTTGTTGTTACCATTTCATATCCA